TTTGACGGTCGTCATTGTCTCAAAGGCATCAGAATCTTGTTTAATGGACGCTCATTTTCACCATCACAAGTTACCAATTATTTCTGACAGGTACTATCTGTCATATTTTCCCCAGGTTTAAAACCTAAATAGCAGTACAGATAACACTAACGGTTTCAACTCAGTTGCACCAAACGAAGAATTTTAACCCCTCAAAGGTCCCACGATTAATCCTGTCATGCCTGACTCCAGAGTCACTTAGCCCGCGAGCAGGCTCACCTTTGAGTCACGCGCGAGAGCGTGGAAGAGAAAAGCGATCCGGCGGAAAGGAGTCTGGTGAAGAGTTACCTAGAAAGTCACTTTCTCGTCTCGCGGTTTTGCCGCTCGATTTCGCGCATGCGGCTACGCCAAACGCGCTTGTGCTCCAACGTGAGCCTGCTCGCAGACTAAGAGTCAGTAATATACTATAAATTCATGAACAGTAGTAAACCCTTCACTCAAGCCTCAAGACAACTATTCAAATAAAAGATATNTGCTCCAACGTGAGCCTGCTCGCAGACTAAGAGTCAGTAATATACTATAAATTCATGAACAGTAGTAAACGCTTCACTCAAGCCTCAAGACAGCTATTCAAATAAAAGATATTGAGCAATACAAGTTAGGTTTTTTTTTTAACTTGGCAATCTTGAAGAAAAGATCATTGATTAGCCAGTTAAAATCACAATTACCTGGGAAAGAAATCTGATTCCCACTGGATAATGCTTTCCATCATGATCTACATACTGCATGCCGATCACACCGTCTGACATCACAATATACACAAATACAACGGCAACCACAAATGTTACATAGACACATAGTGCTGCTGAACTTGTGATGAAACAGCAAAAGAACTTGTAGTTTTTCTTTCCGATACAGTTGTTAACCCATGAGCAGTGATGGTCAAATCGACTCACACAAACATCACAGAGTGCTGATAACAAAAGAAAACAAGACTTACAAAAAGAAACAAATTGGAAAAGGTAAGTTGCAATTTATGTCTACAGTCATGAACATTTAATCATACATGAAAACTTGCACTCCGTCTTCCTTATCGGTACTTAGAAGTAAAAAGGTTTACAATAAGAACTCAGAGTGCTAAGAAAACCAATTTTTGGGCTTGCCCTTCAGGCCAGCTGTAACTATGACGTACTAAATGGAAAGTCACTGTCTAGTCAGAGTCACTGGTTAGCACCAAAAAAAACTAATCTCATCATTATGTAATTTGCATTTTCCTCAAAACTTTCTCAAGAAATTTCAATTACTTTTTGGGTAAGTGAAGGACAGAATCCAACAGCCAGACTGCAAAATCCACTAGCCCTCAACTATAATTTACATTAATACTGTGCAGGTTGCATTAATATATGATCACCTGCACTTCAAACACAACTTTTTGGCACATTGAACCCTTGTTTCAGACCCCAACTCCCAGGGATCAAACCTGGGGGGTATTCCCAGAAAAGTTGGGTGGGGGTGTCCGGTCTGCTTCTCAAAACCCTTACCCTATTTATGACCAAAATCTGCGATATTCCCTACTCTATTTAAGACCTGACCGAATATTTGATACCCTATTTATGACCTAACCATTAAATTAAAACCCTGTTTCAGACCTGCATTATAATACTGTAAGTTCCCTAGTTCAGACCAATGTTAAATTACTGTAAACATAATTTGTGAAGGGCTTTTGTTAATTTGATTATGATGAAAAAGTGGCTTCTTCTTAAAAACATACCCATATCAAGGCTAGAGTGCAAAAACCATACCCTATTTATGACCAAAANGCAAAGCAGCATTCCACAACACAAATTGTTTCCATTGGTTCTGTCTTCCAGTTACTGTAATCAAACCTACAACTTCCTTACAATTACCCTGCTTTCTTACATACTGTACCAGCATGTCCATGTATATAAAGCTTTGCATGCATATTACAAGTACAACTATATACTCTATTGCAATCTGTTTGTTCTAGTGGCACAGTTGTAGAACACTTGAGAGTGGCATACTTGGAATTAAAAGGAACCTCAAAACAATCTATATGTGTACTTACTGCAGTGTTTTGACCTCGCTGGCTTAATAAACTTGCATGTATAACATTCCGGTTGTGTGTAATATACACCATCAGGTTCATAGTCATTCATGTAATCAGCATGATCTATGGTTGTAATGATACCAGGCTCACTGGTGGAACAAATCCAAAAGAGTGTCACATTGATGGCTATAAGTATATACGTAACAATGCTAAATACATTGATTTTATCGAAGAATGGGATGACCCTGAAGGTGTATATAGCAGTCCCTCCAGTAATAACAAAGCCATAAAATAGTTGAATGCATGGATTCCTGAAGAAAAGAAAACATAAAAATGTAAAGTTTTTG